CTTTAAGATGTAAAATGAAGGAGAAATATAACTAGTGCTTTCATTTTGTCAACTCTCAATTACAAAGCAGCACAACACTTTACTCATTTATAAGGGCCCATTTCCTTTTCGATGATTTTGAAGTTGGCGTCTAACAAGACACAGAAGATGATCTGACCCACCAAGAGGCAAACACGAAACACAATGAAAGAAAATATGATGACTGACATCCCAAAACGTGGTCTTGGGACAAAGACAAATGGAAATTTCTCACATAGTTTTTGGTGCTATACTGTTAACTACACAGAAGGATTGATGATCAAAGTTTAGTGTATGTGGGTTTTTTTTCCTAACTTTATGCTGTTTATGTAAATAAACTTACAGGTTCTTTGGTGGAAAGATGTCATATTAACCCAAAAATAAAATATAAATATCAGTAAGCTACTTTGAAGCAAGCTATACATAAGATTTGATATTCTGACAAGATACCTAGACTTTATGTCCTTTAAAACAGTCATGGAAAAGTTTATAGTAGAATGACAATAAAGTGTGTTAGTAAACCAGAAAGAGAGAGCAAGAGAATGAACATACAAGAACACACACCACTACACAGCTGTTGCCATCGAGTCAATTCTGACTCATAGTACCCTATAGGACAGAGTAGAACTGCCCCATAGAGTTTCCAAGGAACATCTGGTGGATTCAAACTGCCAACCTGGGTTGACAGCAGTAGCTCTTAACCACTATGGCACCAGGGTTTCCACAAGAACACAGGAAGACTGAAAATAAAAATATAGACTAAAAGTCATCAAAAAACACTTACCAAAAGAAAGCTAGTTTAGCTATACTTATTTCAGACATCATAAACTTTAAAGCAGAAACATTATTAGGAATAAAAGGTCACATGTAATCAGAAAAAAAAAAAAAGAATAATTCACTGAAAAGCTAAAAATTCTAAACTTGTACATACATTATCCCCACAAGTGTATTGCTTGTTGTACTGTGGTGGCTTGCATGTTGCTGTGATGCTGAAAGCTATGTCACTGGTATTTCAAATACCAGCAAATACACCAGCAAGGTAACCCATAGTGGACAGTTTCAGAGGAGCTTCCAGACTAAGACAGACTAGGAAGAAGAATCTGACAGCCTACTTCTGAAAAATTTGGTCAGTTACAACCTTATGAATAGCAGCAAAACATTGTCTGATGTAGTGCTGGAAGACGAGCCACTCAGGTCAGAAAAACATCGCTGCTGTCGAGTCAGTTCTGACGCATAGGTACCCCATGTGACAAAATAGAATTGCCCTATAGGGTTTCCAAGGCTTTAATCTTTACGGAAGCAGATTGCCACATTTTTCTACCAAGTCAGATCAGAAGGCACTCAAATATGACTGGGGAAGAGCTGCCTCCTCAAAGTAGAGTTGACCTTAATGAGGTGGATGGAGTAAAGCTTTCGGGACCTTCATTAACTGATGTGTCACAACTCAAAATGAGAAGAAAGATCTACGAACATCCATTAAAGATCTGAACATGGAATGTACAAAGTATGAATCTAGGAAAATTGGAAGTGGTCAGAAATTAAATGGATAGCATAAAGATCGATATCCTAAGCATTAGTGAGTGGAAATGGACTGGTATTAGCCATTTTGAATTGGACAATCATATAGCCTATTATGCTGGGAATAACAAATTGAAGAGGGATGGGGTTGTGTTCATCGTCAAAAAGAACATTTCAAGATCTATCCTAAAGTACAATACTGTCAGCGATGGGATAACATGCATATGCCTACAAGAAAGACCAGTTAAGACGACTATTACTCAAATTTACTCACCAACCACTAATGCCAAAAATGAGGAAATTGAGGATTTTTACCAACTTCTGCGGTCTGAAATAGATCAAACATGCAATTAAGATGCACTGATAATTACTGGTGATTGGAATGTGAAAGTTGGAAATAAAGAAGGACAAATAGTTAGAAAATACGGCCTTGGTGATAGAAATGATGCCAGAGATCACATGATAGAATTTTGCAAGGCCAACAATTTCGTCCCTGCAAATACCTTTTTTCAACAACATAAAGGACAATTATGCATGTAGACCTTGCCAGTTGGAATACATAGGCATCAAATCAACTACATCTGTGGAAAGGGAAGAGGGAGAAGCTCAATATCTTCAGTCAGAACATGGCCAGGAGCTGACTGTGGAACAGACCATCAATTGCTCATATGCAAGTTCAAGTTGAACTGAAGAAAATTAGAACAAGTCCACAAGGCCTAAAATATGACCTTGAGTATATTACACATAAATTTAGAGACTATTTTCATAATAGATTTGACTCCTTGAACATTAATGATGCAAGACCAGACAAGTTGTGCAAGGACATCATATTCGAAAAAAACAAAAGGTCATGAAAAAAGACAGGAAAAAGAGAAAAAACCAAAATGGATGTGAGAAAAGACTCTGAAAGTTGCTCTTGAACGTAGAGTGGCTAAAGCAAAAGAAAGAAATGATGAAGTAAAAGAGCTAAACAGATTTCAAATGGTGGCTCAAGAAGACAAAGTAAAGTATTACAATGAAATGTGCAAAGACGTGGAGTTAGAAAACAAAAAAGGAGAACACGGTTGGCATTTCTCAAGCTGAAAGAACTGAAGAAAAAAATTCAGGCTTCCAGTTGCAATACTGAAGGATTCTACAGGGAAAATATTGAATGGCGCAGGAAGCATCAAAAGAAGATGGAAGGAATAAATAGAGTCACTGTACCAAAAATAATTGGTCAACGTTCAACCATTTTCACGAGGTAGCAAGTGATCAAGAACTGATGGTACTGAAGGAAGAAATCCAAGCTGCACTGAAGGCTTTGGTGAAAAACAAGGCCCCAGGAATTGGAATAACAATTGAGATGTTTCAACAAACGGATGCAGTGCTGGAGGTGCTCATTTGTCTTTGTCAAGAAATCTGGAAGATGGCTTCCTGGCCTACCGATTGGAAGAGATCCATATTTGTACCCATTCCAAAGAAAAATGACCCAACATGATGTAGAAATTATTGAACAATATCATTATTTATCAAAGTTTTGCTGAAGATCATTCAAAAGCGCTTGCAGCAGTACATCAACAGGGAACTGTCAGAAGTTTAAGCCGGAATTAGAAGAGGACGTGCAATGAGGGATATCATTACTGATGTCAGATGGATCTTGACTGGAAGCAGAGAGTACCAGAAAGATGTTTACCTGTGTTTTATTGACTATGCAAAGGTATTCAACTGTTTGGACCATAACAAATTACGGATAACATTGTGAAGAATGGGAATTCCAGAACACTTAATTGTGTTCATGCAGAACCTTTAAAGGGGATACTGTGTGGTTTACAGTCAGGAAAGGTGTGCATCAAGGTTATATCTTTTCACCATACTTATTCAATGTGTATGCTGAGTAAACAATCCGAGACGCTGGCCGATATGAAGAAGAACGGGCATCAGGATTGGAGGAAGACTCATTAACAACCTGTGATATGCAGATGACACAACCTGCTTGCTGAAAGTGAAGAGGACTTGAAGCACTTACTGATGAAGATCAAAGACGACAGCCTTCAGTATGGATTGCACCTCAACACAAAGAAAACAAAAATCCTCACAACTGGACCAATCAGCAACATCATGATAAACGAAGAAGAGATTGAAGTTGTCAAGGATTTCATTTTACTTGGATCCACAATCAATGCCCTTGGAAGCTGCAGTCAAGAAATCAGAAGACGTATTGTGTTGGGCAAATTGGCTGCAAAGACCTCTTTAAAGTGTTAAAAAGCAAGGATGTCACTTTGAGCAATAAGGTGCACCTGACCCTAGCCATGTTTTTTTTTTTTTTTTTTTTAATTTCCTCATGTGCATGTGAAAGCTGGACAACGAGTAAGGAAGACTGAAGAATTGGAGCCTTTGAATTATAGTGCTGGTGAAGAATATTGAATATACCATGCACTGCCAGAAGAATGAACAAATTTGTCTTGGAAGAACTACAGCCAGAATGCTCCTTAGCAACAAGAATGGGGAGACTTCGTCTCGTATATTTTGGACATATTATCAGGAGGAACCAGTCCCTGCAGAAGGACATTATACTTCATAAAGTGGAGGATCAGCAAAAAGGAGGAAGACCCTCAAGGACATGGATTGACACAGTGGCTGCAATGATGGGCTCAAGCATAGCAAGGATTGTGAGGATGGCAAAGGACTGGGCAGTGTTTTGTTCTGTTGTACATAGGGTCGCTATGAGTCAGAACTGACTCGATGGCAACTAACAACAACAATGTACATAATAGCATAAAACCACCTAGCAACTCATAACGACCCCATAGGGTTTCCAAGGCTTTAAATCTTTACAGAAGCAGACTGCCACATCTTTCTCCAACTAAGCAGTTGGTGGCTTCAAACTGCTGAACTTTCTGATAGCAGCCAAGCACTTTAACTACTGCACCACCAGGACTCCTGCATAATAGCATAGCTTCAAAATACATAAAGCAAAACTTGACAAAATTCCAAAGGAAGTTAATAAATCCACAATTTTCTCATCAGTTAATAGTTCAAGGAAACCAAAAACATTTCAAAGATATAGAAAATTTAAAAGACACAATTAGCAAGCTTTACCTAGTGACAGCAGCTAGAGAATACTTATTGTTTTCAAGCAAAAATGAGACATTTACAAAATTGACAACATAGTTGCAAAGCAAGCCTCAACATACCAGATAGTCTATATCAAACATCCTGCTTTCTCTGTTCACTATGCAGTTAAGTTAGAAATCAATAACACAAAGCTAAATAATATCCTCCATGATTTATAAATTAAAAAACAGACTTCAAAGAAGAATCACTATGTAAATTAGTATTTGGAGCTGCGTTATAATTAAAATACTACATATCAAAACTTGGATGATACAACTAAAGTGGTCATTAGAGGGAAATTCATAGCTTTATACAATAAAATAAGACTTAAAACAATGAGCTAAACATTCACTTTAGAAGTTAAGAAAAAAGTGCTTGCTTCGTCAGCACAAATACTCAAATTGGAACGATGCAGAGAAGATTAGCATAGCCCCTAAGCAAGGGTGACATGCTAATTCATGAAGACTTCCATATTTTTATACAAGAGGAGTGGGCAGACTCCTGGGCTCACATACTTAGTGGCAGTTCTGGCTAGCTGGTGGAAGGACATTGGAGCTTCAGGGGCACCGGGGGTCTGGCTAGCTCACATGAGCAGCCTATTTGGGGATATCAAAACCAAACCAAACAAGAAGCTAGGACACAGTAAGCAAACATAAAGTAAATAAATGTAATAAATTATTGATAGCTCAGAGACAACATTCAATATTAAATCACAAAAAGAGGCAGAGCGTGATGACTTCAGCAAGCTCCCTGTCCTGGTTTGAGCTGTGTCCCCCAAAAAATGTGTGTATCAATTTGTCTGGGCCATGATTCCCAGAACTGTGTGGTTGGCCCCATTTTGTGATTGTAATTTTATGTTAAAGAGGATTAGGGTGGGATGGTAACACCACCCTTACCCAGGTCACATCCCTGATCCAATGTAAAGGGAGTTTCCCTGGGGTGTGGCCTGCACCACCCTTTTATCTCTCAAAAGATAAAAGGAAATGGAAGCAAGCAGAAAGTTGGGGACTTCATACTATCAAGAAAGCAGAGCGCATCCTTTGGACCGGGGTCCCTGCACAGAGAAGCTCCTAGTTCAGGGGAACACTGAAGAGAAGAAGGCCGACGGAGAGAAAAAGCCTTTCCCTGGAGCTGACGCCCTGAATTTGGACTTTTAGCCTACTTTGACTGTGAGGAAATAAACTTCTCTTTGTTAAAACCATCCACTTGTGGTATTTCTGTTATAGCAGCACTAGATGACTAAGACACTCCCAAAATAAAGAATCTAGAAATTTTTCGTAGGAAGAAAATTTCTTGGAATTACCAGAGGCAGAATACAAAAGATTAATAAACAGAACTCTTTAAGACATCAGGAAAGAAATTAGGCAAAACTAAGAACAAGCAATAGAGGAACTTAAAAAGATTAAAGAAGAGCACAATGACAAATTTAACAGGCTGCAAGAATCCATAGAGAGACAGCAATCAAAAATCCAGAAAATTAACAATAAAATTTCAGAATCAGACAACTCAATAGAAAGTTATAGGAGCAGAATTGAGGCAATGGAAGTGAGAATTAGTGAGATTGAAGATAAAGCGCTTGACACCAAGTTATTTGAGGAAAAATCAAATAAAAAAAATTTAAAAATGAAGAAACTCTAACAATTATGTGGAATTCTATCAAGAGGAATAAGGTACGAGTGATCGCAGTATCAGAACGGGGCGGGGTGATAACAGAAAATACAGACAGAATTGTTGAAGATTTGTGGGCAGAAAACTTCCCTGATATCATGAAAGATGAGAAGATATCTACCCAAGATGCTCATTGACCCCCACATAAGGTAGATCCCAAAAGAAAGTCATCAAGACATATTATAATCAAACTCACCAAAACCAAAGATAAAGAGACAATTTTAAGAGCAGCTAGGGATAAACAAAGTGTCATCTACAAAGGAAAGTCACTAAGAATAAGCTCGGACTACTCAGCAGAAACCATGCAGGCAAGAAGGCAATGGGATGACATATATAAAACCTTGAAGGAAAACAATTGCCAGCCAAGAATTGTATATCCAGCAAAACTGCCTCTCAAATATGATGGCAAAATTAGGGCATTTCCAGACAAACAGAAGTTTAGGGAATTTGCAAAAACCAAACCAATATTGCAAGATATACTAAAGGGAGCCCTCCAGTTAGAAAATCAATAACATCAGATCACAATCCAAGACTAAAATACAGGACAGAGCAACGAGTTATCAACCCAGATAGGGAAGTCACAAAAATAAATCAAAGCTTAAACACTGAAAATAGGGAAACACAGAAGTCAATATGTAAAAGATGACAACATTAAAACAAAACAGAGGGACTAAAAAATGTAGACATAGATTTTTCATATGGAGAGGTTGGCAAGGTGATATAAAGAAATAAAAGACTGGTATAAACTTAGAAAAACACAGGTGAATATTAAGGTAACCACAAAGGAAACTAACAATCCTACATGTCAAAATAAAAAACAAGAAAAATATAAAGACTCAGCAAATATAAAATCAACAACAATGAAAAGATGAAAAGAAAATACATAAAGAAAAACAACTCAGCACAGAAAATTAAGAGGAACAAAGAAACTGTGAACAACACACAAAAAAAGACGTCAAAATGACAGCACTAAACTCATATCTATCTATAATTACACTGAATGTAAATGGATTGAATGAACCGATAAAGAGACAGACAGTGGCAGATTGGATAAAAAACATGATCCATCTATATGCTGCCTACAAGAGACACACCTTAGACTTAAAGACACAAACAAACTAAAACAGGATGGAAAAAAATATATCAAGCACACCACACTCAAAAAAGAGCAGAAGTGGCAATATTAATCTCTGACAAAATAGACTGTAAAGTAAAATCCACCACAAAGGGTAAGGAAAGACACTATATAATGATTAAAGGGTCAATAAACCAAGAGGACATAACCATAATAAATAATTATGGACCCAACGACAGGGCTCCAAAATACATAAAACAAACTCTAACAGCATTGGAAAGAGAGATAGATAGCTCCACAATATTAGTAGGAGACTTCAACACACCACTTTCAGTAAAGGACAAAACATTCAGAAAAAAGCTCAACAAATACACGTGAGATCTAAATGCTACCATCAACCAATTTGATCTCATAGATGTATACCAAGCACTACAGCCAACAGCAGCCAAGTATACTTTCTTTTCCAATGCACATGGAACATTCTCCAGAATAGACCACATATTAGACCATAAAACAAGCCTTAACAAAATCCAAAGCATCAAAATATTGTGAAGCATCTTTTCTGACCATAAAGCCATAAAAGTAGAAATCAACAACAGAAAAAGCAAGGAAAAAAAATCAAACACATGGAAACTGAACAACATCTTGCTCAAAAACTACTGGGTTATAGAAGAAATTAAGGATGGAATAAAGAAATTCATAGAATCACACAAGAATGAAAACATATCCTACCAGAACCTTTGGGACACAGCAAAAGCAGTGCTCAGAGGTCAGTTTATAGCAATAAATGCACACGTCCAAAGAGAAGAAAGGGCCAAAATCAAAACATTAACCTTACAACCGGAGCAAGTAGAAAGAGAGCAGCAAAAGAAGCCCTCGGGTGCCAGAAGAAAGGAAATAGTAAGAATTAGAGCAGAATTAAATGAAATAGAGAACAGAAAAACAATAGTTAACAAGACCAAAAGCTAGTTCTTTGAAAAGATCAACAAAATCAATAAACCATTGGCCAAACTGACAAAAGAAAAACAGGAAGGGAAGCAAATAACCTATATAAGAAATGAGATGGGTGATATCACAACACACCCAACAGAAATTAGAAGAATCGTAACAGAATACTAAGAGAAAGGGTACTCTAACACATTTGACAACCTAGAGGAAATAGACAAATTTCTGGAAACCCACTACCTACCTAAACTAACACATACAGAGGCAGAACAGCTCAATAAACCCATAAAGAAAGAAGACATTGAGAAGGTAATTTAAAAACTCCCAATAAAAAGAAAGCTCTGGTCAGGATGGTTTCACTGGAGAATTCTACCAAACTTTCAGAGAAGAGTTCACACCACTACTGCTAAAGGTATTTTAGAGCCTAGAAAAGGATGGAATACTCCCAAACTCATTCTATGAAGCCAGCATAACCCTGGTACCAAAACCAGGTAAAGACACTACAAAAAAAGAAAATTACAGACCACTATCCCTCATGAACATTGACACAAAAATCCTCAATAAAATTCTAGCCAATAGAATTCAGCAACATATCCAAAAATTATTTCACCATGATCAAGTGGGATTTATACCAGGTATGCAGGGATGGTTCATCATTAGAAAAGCAATCAATGTAATCCATCATATTAATAAAACAAAAAAAAAGAACCACATGATCTTCTCAATTGATGCAGAAAAGGCATTTGACAAAGTCCAACACCCATTCATGATAAAAAATCTCAACAAAATAGGAATAGAATGGAAATTCCTCAACATAATTAGGGGCATTTATACAAAGCCAACAGCCAACATCATCCAAAATGGAGAGAGTTTGAAAGCATTCCCCTTGAGAATGGGAACCAGACAAGGATGCTCTTTATCACCACTCTTATTCAACATTGTGCTGGAGGTCCTAGCCAGAAAAATTAGGCTAGAAAAAGAAATAAAGGCATCCAAATTTGTAGGGAGGAAGTCAAAGTATCTCTATTTGCAGATGATATGATTTTATACACAGAAAACCCCAAAGAATTCACAAAAAAAATACTTGAACCAATAGAAGATTTTAGCAAAGTATCAGGATACAAGATAAACATACAAAAATCAGTTGGATTCTTTTACACCAACAAAGAGAACTTCCAAGAGAAAATCACCAAATCACTACCATTTACAATAGCCATCAAGAAGATAAAATACTTAGGATAAATCTAACCAGAGATGTAAAAGACTTATACAAAGAAAACTACAAGACACTACTGCAAGAAACCAAAAGAGACCTACATAAGTGGAAAAACATACCTTACTCATGGATAGGAAGACTCGACGTTGTGAAAATGTCAATTCTACCCAAAGTGATCTACAGATGCAATGCGATACTGATCCAAATTCCACTGGCATTCTTTAATGAGATGGAGAAACAAAGCACCAACTTCATATGGAAAGGGAAGAGGCCCTGGATAAGTAAAGCATTACTCAAAAAGAAGAACAAAGTGGGAGGCCTCACACTACCTGATTTTATAACCTATTATATCACCACGATAGTCAAAACAGCCTGGTACTGGTACAACCACAGATACATAGACCAATGGAGCAGAATTGAGAATCCAGACATAAATTCATCCACCTATCAGCAGCTGATATTTGACAAAGCCGCAAAGTCCCTTAATTGGGGAAAAGACAGTCTCTTTAACAAATGGTGCTGGCATAACAGGATATCCATTTGCAAAAAACTGAAACCAGACCCATACCTCACA